ATATATATATATATATATATATATATATATATATATATATATAATGATTAGAAGTCGTTTGTTTGAGCGGCAGGAGATGATCTTCCGGGGCACGGACACGACAGCGCTGTTGACGGAGTGGACCATGGCGGAGCTGGTGCTCCACCCGGAGGTTCAGGCCAAGCTCCGCCGCGAGATCGACGCCGTCATTGGCCGCGACCACGTGCCGACGGACGCCGACGTCGTGCGGATGCCCTACCTCCAGGCCGTGATCAAGGAGACTTTCCGCAACCACCCGCCGGGACCCCTGCTCTCCTGGGCCCGCCTCTCCACCGACGACGTCCACCTAAGCAACGGTATGCTTGTCCCCGCCGGAACCACTGCCATGGTCAACATGTGGGCCATCGCGCACGACGCCAAGGTGTGGGCCCGGCCGGACTGCTTCGAGCCGGAGCGGTTTGTGGACGCCGATGGCGGAGCCGACGTCGACGTGCGGGGGGGTGACCTACGGCTAGCGCCCTTCGGGGCCGGCCGCCGTGTCTGCCCCGGCAAGAACCTGGGCCTGGCAACCGTGGGTCTCTGGGTGGCGCGGCTGGCCCACGGGTTCGAGTGGGCCCCCGTCGATGGCGCCGCGGTGGACCTCGGTGAGGTGCTCAAGCTGTCACTGGAGATGAAGACTCCCCTCACTGCCGCTGCCACACCAAGGGAGAACGTCGTTGGGGTGCTCTAGTTCACATGAAGAGTCTTCAGATATAGAAGCTAGTCGATGTTGTTAAGGGGCTCCAATTTTGGGTTGACGGTATCATGGAGTCTGGTTTACTTCTGTTTGCTTGTTAATTTTAGTTGTGTAACCAAAACTTCCACATAGTTTGTAACGGATGGTAGTTGTACTGTAGTAGTAGTAGTGGCGATCAGTTCTCGTATATTATACAGAAGTATTGTTAAAATATTAATTAATACGAAAAGAACGCACAGAAGCACACAGCTCTCCCCAAGAAACGCTTCGTCCAAGTGTAATGTCGTCACTGATGTGCTCCAGGAGAAGGGCTAGCTGGAAGATGGGCGCCTGCATGCATTGACCTGAAGAATGCTAGCTGCAGCATTTAAGTGATGATCGTTGGTTCTCATGGGTTCGCTAAAGCCGAGGGAGATCTGCTTCAACTTTTCCTCGAGGATCAATGGCCATCGCCATGCATGCCGTTGGATTTTCCTTGAAACCTCGCAGGACAAAGCGAGCGCTTCGGCAACTCGCAGGCAAAGAAATGGAAGAGCTATCTAGGGTTAGTAGAATAAGGTGGAAACTTACTATCAGGGATCAACGTCAACGAAAGAGGGGCGGACCAGAAATCAGTTAAGCAACTGGTGCCCACTGATGAACTCATTTACCATGTCCTGCGCTTGCTCGTTCCGAAGCTCAAGGTGCTCAGAACACCATCATAAGCAAAAGCAAAAGCATGGAGAGCTCACGTCTTGCCTTTATTGCGCCGTACTTAGCGATAGGGCAACTCAAGACAGTGAGAGAGATAAGACTGCAGTACTTGGCGTTATCGGTCACGCAAGGTGTACGGCTGAAGTTACGCCCGACGCCTTGCATGACATATGCTCAGCACGTACGTACCACAAACCCTAGCCTATATATATGAGACGGCCTAAGGGAGGAAGGAGGAGACGACCTCTCTCTCTCTATCTCTGTCTTCTCGATGTACGCGTCGCACGCGTCGCGTCAGTGCAGCTTCCATTCACAACGTGATTCGGTCAATGATTTTGCTGCAGCGATTCATCCCAATGTACAACAGTTTACGTGGCCCTCAAAATCTTCTTTGATGCCATAAATGCATGCAGAAAAGATGAAAGGATATCCTGAGTAGACGAATTCTAAATTATACTGCTTAATACAAATAACACAAGTATTTAAGATAATTTACTACGATGAGGATCTACTTCGGTGTAGTTACTTGGGCCAAATCGATCTTAGATGTCCATACTTAATCATTTGAACTGGAATGTGTCTGTGTTGTTGGTGTTATGTATGCATGTCAAACATACAACTAGCAGCTGCTTCTTTAACTATAAAACAGTAGAAGTTGCTGCTCAAGACCTGTGCACTAGCAACAATATATATACCTTCTGCCTTGACAAAGTCTATTATCCCCATGTGTATCTGCTCCATGTGCCATGCATGGAGGACATGCGACCCTGTGGAGCTACAGGATAATGAGTTGCCGACCAAGTAATCAGTGGAAGGGACCAAATACACGCTAAGATGGCAGAGGAACGCATGTCATTTACCTTTACCTTGTCCATATACTTATTTGCATGAACATGACCGAGGCCTGATGTGCAATTGTTTGAGGGTGAAGACAAGAATTAGAATTAGCTGTGGAAATCACACACAACCTAGTAGTACTGAACTGTTACCATCAGGGGTTGCTAGCAATTGAAGGACCAATGGGAACATATGCTTTCTGCCATTCATTTCAAGCTTCAGGCTCCGTGGTTCTCTTGACCATAAGCGCACAGTGATAAAGATCACAGTCCCCGGATATTTTTCAATTAAAGACGAGTTGTGTCTCACAGACCTTTTTCCTCTGATGCGAAGGATTTTTGTATATTAACCACAACTTAGACTCATGCAACCAGGACTTTTTGTCTGATGGAATGCCTCGAAGATCATTTCACGCCTTGAGGAAGTGAGCAAAAGACATTGACTCTCAACTATTAAGGAAATTTAAAGGATATAATAAAACAACTTAGCAATTATTGATAGGTTTAAAAGTCCTATGATTAGGAAGTTTCTTACACTAGAAGGGATCATAATATTGGTCAGTATCTGCCAATCAACTTAATCTTGATTATATGACGAAAGACATGTGGGCTATCTATTAATAAAAAGAAATCTCAATCTCACTCTTCTCATTTCTTGTCATGTTAATAACCAAGGAACATCAACTGCTGCTGCTTGTTTGTGCCTCCAAATAACTAAATGTGCGCTTCAGAAATCTCCTCAAGGACTGGGAAGATATTTGAACATTCTTTGGTTATCTATGAGAATAAAGCTTTCGCATATGACTAATACAAAGCATCTTCAATATTCAATAGAGGAATAGTTTTTCTTATAATTCTATTTTGCCTGCAGGATTGTTCGTGAAAGTACCTGGAGTCAAACTGATCATTTTTAGATGTTTACATCAAGCAACTGTTGCTATTTCTTTATCCTCTACTTGAGACCAACATAATATCCCAAGTCATTTGGCGTTGGTACATGATTGTGGCAAGAATGAGGTGGGGAATCTGTTTCTAATATATGAATAAATATCTAGATGGGTCTGTGTTCAATGAACCATCGGCAGAAGCTGCATGTTTTGTTTCTGTGATATGCAATATTTAGACTGGATATTGTTTGGAGCCAAGCAGGAGAAGTTCGTCGATATAGAAGACACAAGAAGATCCTCTATGGACATCAAGAAGGAAAAATCATATGTAAAGCTAATAGATAATGAACTTCTTTGTCTCTCTCTTGATCTGAAACTGTCAGCTTGCTGCAATACACCTCATATCATCAACAACATGTGAGTTCTCTGGACCATTAACATCGACTGACAGTGGACACAACTCCTATTTTATTTTCATAAATTTCAAGGCATGTTTTACATAAATGTGTCCGATATCTGCCCACTATGCCTATCGATGCTTATACTTTGTAGTCTTGGAACATGCTTTTACTTTTTATAGTTTTTCACCGGGCTTTATGTAGTAGTCAATAGTTATTTC